AAACCTCCTTTCTAAGAAGAGGCCTATGGTTAGTATTGAACTAATAAATGCTGTTGATGATATCTCATTCACGGCCGTCTGATCCCAAATCAGATTGAGCCTGTACTATGGTGACAAAACTGCTGATAAACATATTTTTATATCTCTAAATATATACATATTATCACATACATACACACATACATTAATATTGACAAAATGTGTTATTCAGTACTCCATATAACATCTATAAATGCACCACATTTATCACCATATTAATTTTTTATGATTATTATCATTTATCATTTACAATTATTTCTTTTGTCATTACATCTAGTTGGCAGTCAGGCTGACTAACTACTAGACCAACAGGCTCATTAATAACTAAGCAGAAACAGATTTGTACGAAAACTTTAACATCAAATGTCTCATGAAATCTAGTCTAATCTAATGATGGTTATAGATAATATAGTATTTAACAAATGCGCTAAAAGACTACAACTTAATATCATCAATCCAGCATGGATTGCACCTTGGATTTTATTAATGTATCATTCGAAATAGTATAATAATTAAATTGCTTTTTCGAACGTATTTTCTGGCAGTTACGCAGGTTTACCGTTCAAATCAAAACGTACATTATAAGCAGTTCAGTTAATTTAAATTTCCGTAGAATTCCTTACCGCATTAAATTAAAAAGTGTTCTCTAAAGATTAATAAAATCTTAATCTGGACTTGCCTCATAAGTTAAACATTGCCGAGGTTATCCGATTATATAAATGGTCCCTTAGGTGATACGAACAACGGCGGTGCAATAAAACAGAATGAACTCTCGACCACCAGTGATCTTGTTTTGTTTCGTGATGGTCTTAATGTTAATGCGGTTGGCAGATTTGTTCGAACGTTAAAACATAGAGTTGGATAAGTTTTTGATTAAGAACGATGTCCATAGTAGCTTAGATGTTGTGTTTCTTGCACATTAGTTATTACACTTTTTAAAGAAAAATAACTGTCACAAAAGTTTATAAGCATTATACTTTACGTAGTATTCGTAAGTAGCTGCATAAGTTACATTAAGAATAATAACCATAATATTCGGAACCGCGCGAAAAGCACTACCTAGACTTAAAGTAAGTTTAGCCTGTAGTGATGGGTTTTGAAATAAAGTAAGTTACTATTATAAATTATTCATAAATATATATATTTTTTGGAAGAGGTGGCAAACGAGCAAACGGGTCACCTGATGGAAAGCGACTACCGCAGCCCGTGAATGCCTGAAGCTCAGGAGCCACAAGCGCGTTGCCGGCCTTTGAGGAAGGAGTACGCTCTTTTCTTAAAGGTTTGGAGGTCCAAAGATTGTTGTGCGAAGCAAAAAGTGTCTTGAAAATCGCACAGTATTGGGGCGCCAGTTATCCAAGTGGTGGAGATGAAAGTTTTGCCGTGTGGAGCGATGGAAATATGTACAAATTATGCCTAAATAGAATCACTGAGACTGATACAAATAGATGCATATATGTGAAATATAACAAATAATGCATGGGTTACATCGTTTCACAAACAATGTTTTCCTATTTCCTTTTTCTTATACTTCAAACTTAACATTATAACACGTTATGTGTACTTATAACTAAGTTATATCTTTCTTCATTTTTTTTTCTTGATGCTATACAAAATTTACCCACAATAGTTTCTACCTTTTAAATTCCGCACAAATAAATATTTTATGTGCCCAGTGATCGCGATATAACTATATATGGTATAACTCGGAGCCGACAATCCTCTTATTTCCCGTCGTCCGCAGCGACCCGCACTTACTGCTGCTGTACAAAGTGGACTCGATGTACTCGAATGCATTCACGTTATTAGGGCTGTGATTAATGTCATCTTGCAAAATATTTATGTTTATATTTGAAAATCATTATTTGACGTATTACTTTATCGACCCCTCGGCCCGTGAGTACCGAAGTTTGCAACCTTTTGAATGTCCACACCTCGCAAGGATTTTTCCTGTCGGTCTTCCTACAAAAGAAGTTCATTACAAACAGATCGGTACAAAGTTAATCAGTGACCCTCATGCAACATGGGGTCGTGATTAATGTCAACTGTCACTGAATACAATATGCAAAATACGATATATTTTGATATATAAAAGTGTCAACCAGCTTATAAAGCTGCACAATTCTGTTTAAACAATTGTTTTAATAATTTAACTAAAACGGACAACAAATTGATACCAATATGTTTTGCACAAACATTTGCACAGCAAGCGCGTCCACAAAATGAAAGTGCAAAATTAACTTGCTTTTGTAGCATTGGATTTCTATGCATAGGGGTTTATTTTGTCGCAGTAAAATATTTAAATTGATGATAGTGCAAATTATCATCATCATCATCATCATCAACAGCCTCTAATAGTCCACTGCTGGATATAGAAAGAATGCAATGCTGTTGTCCTGCGTAGTTTGCTCCTTTAGACGGCTCTTACGATACCCACAGGTTGAATAAGGGTAGTCACACTTCATATTCTTGATCTGTCACAACACGGACAATTATTTATTGATAATATTACGGGCCTAGTCCAGTACTATAATGACAATAAATTATTAGGCTAATTGAATGAAATAACAGATTGAAGGTAGAAGAGATAGGTATGCTGGGCCTCTCTCTCTTATTTTCTCCCCTGAATGAATACTCTAATGAACTTTTGACTAGGTGAACCAATTTTGATGATTCTTTTTTTATTTGAAAGCCGTATAAGTCTTAAATTTGCATTCAGTATGTTCGCGACAAACAGACGAATAACTCAATATCACGACAATCAATTTCGATAATTCTTTTTTTATTGGAATGGATGTACTTTAAGGGTACTTTGATAAGAGTTTGGTTAGATTCTGATCATGGGATCCATGACAAACTAACGGAACTCTTCAATTCTAAGGAGCAAATTAACGATACTCGACTGAATCTTTTATAGGCTATCTGGATATTTGAGTCACCTACAGTAACGTTGTTATGATCGAGTAATTGTTGTCATCAACAGCCTTTACTAGTCCACTGTTGGACATAGGCCTCTCCTTAGAAAAGAGATTTTGGCCTACTATACCACGCTGGCCAGACGCGTTGGGATAGGGTTTGTTTCAAGTATTCCTTCTCTTTGCAGTGCTGTTGTCCTGCGTTATTTTGGCTGACACCGACTCCAAAAATAACAATAATTGTAACTACATTATATTATCATAATAATTTGATTGACTTTTAAGTAGTCTAATATTTTTCATTACATTTTACTTAGGAGAACTCTAAAAAATGTTTTGATCGTTGTCTATTATTCATAGGTATATGTTGAGTTAGATTTGAAGTGGGTAGTTACCTACCTACCTTCTTGCGTGGTAAACACATAGATCGTACCTACATATTGATGAGTAGAAAAAGTAAGTTGACTATTAAGTTGTAGAAGAATATGCATTTATTTTTTTACTTTTTAGTGCATATTAATTTGTTTTGGAAAAGTGTTTTTTGAAGTCGGTTTTTTTTTGTTAAATATTTTGTTTATTTAGCATTTAAATCGCAAATTTAGAGGTAGAATTCTCGTAACTGAGACAGGACTGTTACATTTACACATAACATAACGATTTATTGCAATATTTTTATAGAATATCAATAGCTGCATTAAAGTTCGACATTCTATAAAAAAACAACAAAAACAATTTTGTTTTGTTGTTCTCAAACACGTTGAACAAAGCCAAGTTTCTTAGAGGTGGCAATTATTCGATACTGGTAGCTGCGTGTGCATCATTGACGTCGTTAGCTGCCCCTGTTTAATACTCTCGTGGAACATTGTATTCCTACTAATCTAATTTTAAAACAGTTTTCAGACAACAGTGCGTTAATTTTCAACACTATTCACATTCATTCACATTAATTTATTTTTATCGATACATGACAACCTTGCTGTTACATTTACTACTTTTCACTCGAACATGTGAAACCGAGCGAGATGCATAACTATCGATAAAACCTCTGCTTCGATATTCATATGTATAGGGTTGGATTCTATTTAGACGAGCAAGTATTGCGGATTCTATTTACCATTAAAGGGGAAAATCGCTTCGATCGGTCAGCATATTTCAATTACTAGATATTTCGAATCTACGTTTTTAATTGGATGCTGAAGCTTACTCATTAATGGCGTGGATAAAATTTTACACATTTTTTGTAGATGAATTGTAGAATGCAAACAGCATTCTTTAGAACCGCAAAGGTTGAGGAGAATTGGGTTTCATCTAAAAAGATATGTAAACAGAACTTTGAAAATGTGCATGTTTGGAAAACGCAATCAAGTGTTAACCTTTGAACAGATTTTGAACGAAACCAAGGTGCGCACGAAGTGTAAATACGAGTACATGCTACATTTTTTTTTAAATATTATTATTATTAATTGGCGTGTAGTAATCATAACATGGATCTATGATTGTCTATTTTTAGAACCTGTTAGAGATAAAATTAGTGCTTATATTACAAAGAGGTTTGCTATTGTCACATAAATAGTTACTTTTTATGCTTTACAGATTATCCAGATACAAATATAAGTACGTCAAAAGTAGTTCGTCACATATGGGTGGACATATGTAAACTGTGTACTACAAAAATGGTAATCCTAAACTTAGCCGCCCTTTACATTACGAGAACGAAAAAAGTAAATGAATCCCAAACAGCGCATCGTGGGGGGTGCACAGCTGATGGTCGTTAATGCGACCCCTATTAGAGTAACGCTTGACCTCCTAATGGGTTAAGGGTAGTATAATCCCATACATATACCATGTATGATAAGGATTTGGTAGGTATTTTAACCCTAGATTACTAAACTTTTTTTTTCAAACTCTGTCACTAAACATTAATCCTACAAACTAACAAAATAAAACCGCAATATTTATCAAAACTAGAGTATTTATTTAGAAAAAGTCTACTTAAAATATGGAATGTCCTTTAAATTACCACATAATAAAACAAAAGGTTAAAAAAAATTATTCTTGGCAGTCGGCACACACTGGAACCGTATGTTCCCCGCAAATCGCCGTCTTGCAGCGGCTGCAAACATATTTAGTCATCCTGTGTTTTTTGTAAGGACAAAAAGAACATATTTTACGCTTATTTTGTTGCGCTTGAGAGGTACTAGGAGTAGCATCTTCAATTTTTAAAATATCTTTGATACTAGCTTTTATATCCCTCCTCAAAGTGACAGTGTTATACCGCTCTCGTAACCATGGCTCTATGAGCTTATCGACTAAACTTTGGACGAAAGTCCTACGTCTCATTGGTTTTTGCCGTTCTCTGACCATGTTCGACACATAGATGACATATGAATTAATTAGGCACAGGTTCAAGACATTATGAAACACGCATTGAGGCCATCTATTGGTTTTGCGATTGACACATATAGCTGAGCACATTTGGTCGACAGTGTCGACAGCACCTTTGGTACTATTGTAAAAATGTATAATTCCAGGCTTTTTCGAAGTGGAGTTAATGTCTGGCTGATTGTGCACTGTCGATAGAAGAAATACTGTCTTGTTAGATTTCGGTTTAAACGAGACCAGAGTCTTCTCACCATCAAATGCAAACATCGAAGTATTAATCTTTCTTGATTTTTTGTTTTTCATCTCAGGTGGAATCTCTCGCTTATTACTACGTATTGTCCCAACAAGTGTGAGTTTATACGAGTCCTGAAGTAATTCTGAAGCAAGTGGCACTGAAGTGAACCAATTGTCAATCGTAATATTTCTGTTTGTCCCATAGACAGGCTCACAGAGTTGTTTCAAAAAATGTGTGGCAAGAGGCATATTATCGCAATTGGTTCCTTTACCCAAATAAGGCGTAGCATTGTATACGTACTTTGAATTAGAATCTGCAACCATTACAATTTTTATGCCGTACTTGTTAGGCTTATTGGGTATATAAATTCGAAATGGGCAGCGCCCTCTGAACCCAACTAATTGTTCATCGATTGTCAGATAGGAACTTGGCTTGTACCATTGTTTGCAATGACCAATGAATTTCTCCCAAAATTCTCTTATAGGTGCAAATTTATCGGATGCTCTTCTGTCTTGTCTGGTAGCTTTGTCATCAAATCGAAGGCATTTAAGTAAGAAATCAAATCTCTCAGCGCTCATGCAGGCTTTGAAAATGTTACCACTCCTTCTGGCATCAAACAACATTCTCGTGGGTAAATGATTACTTTTTATAGCAGCTGATTGCATAAGAAGACCCAGTAAAGCTTTTAGTTCAATAGCTGAAGTTGGAGAAATAGTATGAGTGAGTTCCTTGTACTTCACCTTTTTTATTTCAATCTCTGCATTTGTGTAAATAACAAGTTGGTCAATCATTTCATCAGATAAATACAAATGAAATATTGGCATTGGTTCTACCAAATCTCTTGCATCACTGTTAGGTCCGGGTACAAAATGAATAATGTTTCGTGCACGAGTGTTTGCAGAGCGCCACTGCCCACTTATGTTTGTTTTTTCCATAAATGTATGGTCTCTCAGGTTGTATTACCAGGTCCTGGTGAGAAGCTATGGGTGGACAAGGCTGCAAACACTTCAAAGAATCATCATCAGAATCTAGGATTCTGTTTCTGTTACGGCTTCTCCGGGAAACATTTAGATCTTCATCAGAAGAACTCGACGAATCATCTTCAATTTCGTCGGTATCCTCGACTAAGTCCTCCTCTAAGTTGTCATCAGGTTCGGAGTCCGAAGGCACACCAGATGGTCCAAAAATGGTGAATCGTCATCGTCATTATCCGACTCGTTCAAAATCTGCAATATTTTATCTTGATCTCGTATCAAATCCATCTGCAACAGAAAATACTGCTCAAGCAAAATGTTCGAAATCTCATAAAAAAATAAAAAATGAAAACAAGTTCATAAAATAAATATTGGTCGTAGTATCACACATATTTATTATTCATTTACATTAATCAGTAATTAGTTATTATAGATAAAATCGTAAATAAAAAGAAATATTTCATAACTTACCTTTCTTCACTTTTGTGGCGTAATTACTAAACATTAGCCTGAGAGACTACTATTGCGTAATACCTCTGGAAGTAGGAAGCGTGCGTATGCAATGCGAGTTCACGGGTCACTGATTGGCCGAATTAGGAAGGTACTGAGCGGCTGAGGGGGGTGCGGTAACGGGAACATACATAAACAGCGGATGCGTCAGAGTCGTGTAGCCTGTGAGACTAATGTTTAGTGATCTAGGGTTAATATGAAATTAAACTATGACAAAAATTATATCGCCACTACCTATAATAAAAATGAATGATAAACTTGTTATAATTGGAACAAACAACTATATGTTGTATGAAAACTCAAAAATGTGTAAAAACTTGATCAAAATAAATTAAAATCATTATTAACTGTACGGGTTATGGTAACCGTACAAGGAAAATAAAAGATAGAGTTAAGCTAATCTGGTTTATTTAACTTAATATATAATGGTATGCCTAGAAGGTGTGATTACAACCTAACGGAATGGTGACCGAAAATGTACTTACGTACGTACGTTTTAATGTGATGGTGAAATAGCGTTTCTCGAGGTAAATCGCAAAACGCGTGCAACGTACAGCGTACATACAGCGGGGCTTGGGTCAATTTGTGGATCTTACAATAACAGAGGCCCAAGTGCAAGTTTACTTCACATCAACTGGCTCTCAACAGCGAGCGTGTTTGGCTTTGCTATTAATGAAGATTTCAGAAGGCCAAGTGAGAGTTTATTTCACTTTTACTCGATCATTCTTTTCATCGTCGATAGTCACTTTCCATCAGGTGACCCGTCTGCTCGTCTGCCCTCTCGCTCGGCACGCTCTTGTACTCGTCTATCGTGGTTTATAATAAAACGTGAGTATTTAAAAAAATATATGTATAACATCAGTTTTTTGCAGGCGTTTAAAGTGAAACTTCGGAAATTTAAAAACATAACAAAATATAAACAAATACAAACGAAAAACCTAATAATGTTCTCAACTATTATTTTCCTTTGAAAAAATACTAAATAAATAGTGCGACTAGTCAGACATTTTCCCACCACCCAAAGGTAGACTGGGAGAAAATGCCTGAGGCAATTATTTAAACGGTATTTGAGCATAAAGTATTAAAATAAAGAAAAATAATAGCTCAATACTTTTTAAATTAATTCAATCTTTCGTATTTCATTAAAACCTACATGCATCACAAATGAGGTCGCTGGGCTATCGTGACTATATTTATTACATGTATGTATACTTAATGTCGCTATCAATCAACATCCTAGGTAGGTACCTGATCAGTATGATAACAGCTCTATCTCATTTACTCCTCTAATTTCAGTCGCGAGTTCGAATACCTCACGGTGCAAATATTTATGCGACTATGGTAGGTAGTACGTTCTGAACGTTCTGACTCCCTATAAAAATAAAAATATCATTAAAATTATTCTTTTAACTATCTTGTTGAACTTTAGATTGATTGATTCTTTTTCATAAGTATGTTGTTTTTACTATTAATAATATATATTACACTTTTTAACTATTGACAGATTAATTACATGAAAATGCAGCTATATAGTTTTATAGGAGCATTAACATCAATATTAAATTAGTTAGTATTAAATTATCCTTAAAAGTCATGTCAAAAACCTTCGTCAAATAAACCCATATTTGAGAAGTGTATAATTATCTACTTTAATTAAAGCCCAGTGTATTGAAAGTTCCATTATTGGTTATTCATTTGAATGGGTTTAATTTTCAAAGCGTTGATCTCTTAATTAATATTGATATCGGTTATGAACAAGCTTAGACTTCTTTATTAGGAATCTGATTCATATTCATTGATATAACTGTAAAAGAAATTTAACATTATAGATTGAATATTGAAATTGCGGTTTGTAATTTAAAGGAAATACAGCATCAGAAGTAAATCTTCCAAAATATAGTTTATGGTTAGTCCATTCTCGGAGAAGTTTAAATTGACAACAAACAGACTGCACTGACAGCGTCCAAATCTATTAAGACAGTAGTTTCTATTTACGGAATTCCCCAATAATCCGAGATCGTAAAGCAAATTTAGCCATCTTCCTAAAAAGTGATATGATGATATGACCAAAAGCTGTTGATAATGATGACGATTATTAAGAAAACATATACTTGCAATTTATATAAATAAACTAATAACACTTAAGTTAACTACAGGTAAATGCGGTAACCTCCTCAGTAAAGAGAGGCCTATGTCCAGCAGCATGTCTATTGATGAAATGCGACAAAAAATTTATAGGCAATCCGTAATTAATGCATTCCATACTCACTACTCCTTCATTTAAATTAAGTTTCATTGAAAAAGTCATAAGGTTGCAAGTGACTGTCGGACTTTGCCCATATGCACCAAAATATGTTTATAGTTTCAGCATTTGGTAGATCTAAATCACTTCCAGCTGTGTCAATCTATTTCAATTTTGCTATATATGTAAAAAAGTACGTTACTAATTGAGGTTTCCGCAACTCAAAAGAAAAAAACCCTTATAAGATAAATTTGATGTCAGTCTGTCTATATGTCTGTTTGCGACTTTTCTATAGAAGTATTAGGTGAAATTACATTAAATACTTATATCTATTCTTCCATAAAACTATACAGAAATCAAACTTATATGTCAAAAGACTGACTGCACGGATGGCGTAGTGGTTTAAGCGGTCGCCACACCACTTCCTACTACGCCGAATGTTGTGGGTTCAAACCCCACATGGGACGACAATTTGTGTGATCCACAAATTGTTGTTCTGAGTCTGGGTGTTCTTTGTGTCCGTTTCATGTATGTTTGTAAAGTCCCCCGCGACACAGGATTTATTCATATACAGGATATATTTATTTATAGAAAAAAAAAGAAAGATGCGGTAACTGAGGTCTTTTATTATAACTAATTTTAATACACCGCAAATAAATTAAAACCATAAAAAGCAAATCAATACAAAAATCGTGTTGGGTGCATTAATATCTGAGGCTAGATTGACAGAACTGAACCTTTAAATATCAGTGCACCCAGGGATTTGGAACATATATTTGTGAGAACTGATGGCTGATACATCAAAGCCCACAATTCATAAAGCGCATCATTTGCCGCCGAGTGCTCTAGCGTGTTCAGGCAATTTAATCCTAGATTACCATTCTGGTATGGTAGGTATTTAATTGAAGACTCTGTGACACTACATTTCGTGTAACAGAGTATCCAACTAAAAATCAAGTTAGCACGACGTGACAAAACTCTTTAAACGAATTTACTTGTCTATCTAATAACTTGTACAGACAGTAAAAATTCAAAAAGCAATAGTATTCAGATGGAGACTTTATGAAACACGTGTTTGATGAACGTTGGTACTACCATACTACCCAAACAGCAGCAGTAGTGCTGTTTGGCTTTACATTTTAGGTTTTTCTATTTCGTTACTCATAAATACATTCTACACGCCTTGTTTTCTTCGGGGTCAGCAGCGTTGAAAGCCTGCCTTTTTCGTCTGCCCTTGCATGGTATTTAAGGACCCATGTAACGAAAGCAAAGTTGTTAAAATACCTTTTTAAGAACCTAGAGACTTTGATTCCTCTACTGTTATGATAAATAAATATGATAATTAAAAAAATATCATAAATTACTAATTGGCCATAAAATATAAGAACTTTACGAAGATTGGTTACTCTTTGACCATTATTTCAGTATCTTGGAATCATTCCAATGTCCGACCATCTGTTATGAAGCATAAATAAGACTTAATTTATTTAGGACTACTTCACTAAGAGGGAAGCATTGCCAGTGCCTCTTACCATCCGTTTAATTAGGTCACTAGCGTTCTTCGTTATCATAAGTAGGAAACGCTTTTTAGTTTAATTACTAATGATACGAGATACATTGACACATTACAGAAGCTAGTTAGATATACAAAATGCTATTTTGTGAGAACAGATTTCCTAAAAGTCGTTGAACAAAGAGAACAGTTAACAAATAATAATAACTTTAAAAAAGTAAGAAAAACAGCCGATGATAAATTTATTTAAATTTCGAATTAGGACTTCTTTGGAAATCTGTAGATGTTTAATGGTTTCATGTGTTATTTGTTTTTATAAATTGGCTGCAATTTAAAAAGTATCTATCGTATATCGAAATGAATTTGACAAAAGATAATGATAATGGCTAGTGAAAGAAGCTGTAAAAAGAGTGACATATCAACAAAGTCAACCATTTAACAATATTCATAATAATATAATATGTTTTATTCAATTGACATGGACAATACTGCACACCGTAAACTCTAAACTGTAGAACAAATATTGAGTAGGTTTTTTGTAGTGTGTTTTTC